AGTGACCAGAGTGCACAGCAAGTAAGGTTTTTATTGTTTGTTTGGTTTGGTTTGCTTGTTTGGTTGGTGATTGGGTTTTTGTTGTTGTTGTTGTTTGTTTGTTTATTTTGTTTGTTTGTTTTTGTTTTTGTTTGGTACTGGGAAGGAACCCAGGGCCTTAGCACATGCTAGGCAAATACTCTACCACTGAGCTATATCCCCAGCCCCTTTTAAATTTTATTTTGAAACAGGGTCTCACTAAATTGCCCAGGCTGGCTTCCAATCTGTGATCCTCCTGCCTCAGCCTCTGGAGTAGTTGGGATTCCAGGTGTGGGCCACTAAACCCAGCCATATTTTGTGACTTTGGGGGAGTTATTAGTGTTGATTGGTTTGGTTTGTTTGTTTCGTGGTGCTGGGGATTGAACCCAGGGCCTCCTGCATGCTAAGCAGGTGCTTTACCACTGCAGTTGGATTTTAAAGTGTGATCTTCAGGCTCAAGGTCACTGTCCCCACCACACAGTGTGTCCGGTTCCCATGGCCACAGTGGGGGCCAGATCAATGCTAGGGTGCTGTGGCACAGGGTCATCAAGCTGCTTTTAAAGCCCCCCTCCTAGGCTCTTGGAGAAAGAAACTCAGCCTCCAGAAGGGCTTTCTGGGGTCTGCCACCTTCTCCAGCCAAGTTTCTTTCGGCCCTTTTGGCGAGAGCCGCTTCCAGCAGTGGCCATGCTAATTATTCTCTCTGGTGGACTCACATCACAGTGGGTCCCGAGGAGCCACCTGCTTCCCTCATGCAGAGATGAAACCCGGGAGACGACAGGCCTCTGCACAGGATTACATCTTGATCAAATAAGGCTGCCCTGAGAGTTATCATTCCTGCAAACACCGGGCCACAGAGGAAGGGGGTTTGTGCACCCAACAAGGACCGCCCTCCTGGGCTTTCCTCTTGTCTGATGGTAACTTACAACTCAAGGAACAGACTCACCTTCGGGGCCTCACTTTGGGCAACACAGAGATTGCATTCTCATGTTTGTGGGGACAGATGCTGCTGCAGGCCCATTTACCTTTGGGGAGCTCTGTCTAAATAAACTCAAACTGCCTTTCATGACAAGGATCTCAAAGCATTTTTAAATGAGTCATTAATGAATTTCAACCTCCAGAAAGAGCAAGAATTATTATCTTCATTTTATAAATAGATCAAAGGTCACACAATCAATGGCAGATGTGGGAAACAGATGTAAGTGTTCTGCTTTTGTCCCCGGCTGCTGGCGTCAAGCCGCCCCCACCCCCCAACTCTAGGATCACAAACAGACCTCCTTTTGCTCTCTGACTTCTGGCCAAAGATGTAGAATTGGCCTTTATATGTTTCCACTTAGAGGTTTGAAATCTATGTATGGTTCATATGCCTTTGATATGTCTGGAATTTATAAAAGAAAAGGAGAAGAATGATATTTGATGCTTTTCAGAGATTGCATTGGGACTGAGCCTTATATTGTGGGTCAAATGCCAATAAAAGGAAGAGAAAAAAAAACTCGGTCACCAGATCTTCAGGAGGTTCACTTTTATTCTCTCTTTGAAAGAACTTTCTGTTAAAATTAAGCAGAATGTATCTTTAGTGACCAAAATGATTACTGTGAGAACGCTGAAAGTCACCACTTATTGAGAGCCAGAGATGTGCTTACACATCTATCATGTTATGTGATTCTCACAGATACCTGAGGTTTTTAGTATTCATTTGCTTATAGGCAATCTTTTTTTTTTCTTTCTCTTAGTACCAGGGATTGAACGCAGGGGCATTTTATCACTGAGTCATGCCCGCCCTCCATCCTTTTTATCTTTTTATTTTGAGACAAGGTCTCACTAAGTTGCTAAGGATCTCACTAAGTTGCTGAGGTTGGCCTCAAACTTGCAATCCTTGCCTCCAGGGTTGCTAAAATTACAGGCCTGGGCCACCAGACAGGTCATCTTACAGGTAATCTAACTGAGCATGAAGATAGAAGATAGGTTGAGAAGGATTTGGGGTGGAGGGAGGGGCACAAAAAATTAATTAATTAGACTGATAGTATAATCCATGCCAAAGGCATTGTGTTGTGACAGGTGTTGGAGATACAAAGATGAGCAAAATTTGATCAGAGTCCCGCTCTCAAGGGGTTGATAGCTTTGTAGGATGCTGAGGGTGACAGTCAGGGAGGCAGACATGTTTAGAAAATGAATGATGTCAATTGTCAATACATTTCAGTCTGCAAGTATTTAATGAGTCCCTGGTATGGGTTAGACACTGCACTTGGTCCCAGGGGCAGGTCCCTCTCCTCATGGTGCTTAAAGAGTAGTAGAAAAGCCAGATATTAACTCAAATAATTACACCAGTTTAAAATTGCAATGGAGTGGAAGAAAAGACAGCAGACGGGCCACAGCCTGACAAAGGAGTAGTATCCAGAATGTATAAAGAACTCCTGCACATAGTAAGAGATGGTCCAATAGAAACACCGTCAAATAAGCCAATGGGCAACTTAAGAGGAGAGGCAAATGGCCAATAAACAAAGAAAGTATGATCTGTCTCTCTCACTTGTAAACAGGGAATTGCAAATTAAAACACTGAAATGTCATTTCACACCCATCAGCTTGGCAAAAAACTTGAGGTTTGACATTACCAAGTGTTGTTGAGGCTGCGGAGCACGGGAACTCTCATGTCTTGCTTTCGAACTGTGAATCAGTACAACCACTTTGAAAAACCATTTAGCCATGACTACAAAGCTGCCAGTTCCCAAGTCCTGAACCCAGCAATTGCACACCCAAGCACCTCCCCGGAAGACTCACTTTCACACACGGGGATAGGTATAAAAAATAGCAATAGTAGCATCAGTTTTAATAAAAAAAAATTATTTAAAGCAGAATATCTTCCAGAGGCAGCTGGTAAACACAGTATGCTGAACTTGTATAATGGAACCTAAAATGTATGTGAAAATGTATGTATTGAACTCATGTATCAATGTGGATACATTTAAAAATCCTACAGCTGAATAAAAAAAAGCAAGATGCACAATTATATATTCAGTATAATGCCATTTCTTCAAAGTTTAGAAACATGCCAAACAATTCCATAAAGTACTTACAGGCACAAAGATATATAGTAAAAAAACAAAAGCAAGCATTTGCCTAGCATACATAAGGCCCAGGGTTATATCCCTAGCACTGCAAGATGATGATGATGATGATGATGATGATAATAATAATAATAATAATAATAATAATAATAATAACAATGCCCACAAAAGCATACATAGGAATGATGAGCCCCAAATGCAGGAAACTGGTTACCATAGGAAACAGAAATGAATTCAGAGGACTCCACCTAGATCTGGAAGGTTTTATGACCTTTGAAAAAGACCTACATTTGCCAGGTGTGGTACCGTATGCTTGCCTGTAATCCCAGCTACTCAGGAGGCTGTTAAGGCAGGAAGGATGGCAAGGTCAAGGCCAGCCTGGGCAACTTGGCAAGACCTTGTCTGAAATTTAAAAAAAAAAAAAAAAAAAAAAGGATGGATGGATTGCTGAAGATGTAGCTCAGAGGCAAAATAAATAAATTTGAATTAAGCAGGGCAACTGTTAAACTTTGACAAAGGGAAAGGAGGAGAAGGCGAGAAGGATAAACAGATGTTTATATTACTCCCTGGAGGTTTAATGGTTTAATTTTTAAAATTTCCACTTTGAGCTACCAGAGGAGGATTTGATGAGTTGGGGATGGGCTGGAGCAGATGAATCGGAAAGAGTGGAATGAAAGAAGAGCAGATAGAAAGATCCTGTGTGGCCATGGCAGAGGGAGAAAGGGGCTGGATTTGACCCTGTACAGACCACAGGCCATCCTGAAGGATCAGGCCTCTCTCCCCAGAACCTGACAAATAACAGGAAGCCCAGAGACACTACACTCAGCCACAAGGCAGAACAGGAGGTGGGGGCGTCCTTGTAAAGGTGACTCACATCTTGAGTTCAGGAGTGAGTAAGAGGAAGCCCACTGGGGGAGGGAAGGAGATGTGAATTCCCTGGATATGACCTAACAACAACGAAGACACTGAAGATCTCAAATAGTGTGACGCTCCAGATCATAAAGTGTTAGAAAATGGCAGACGTAAGTGTCCGTGAAGACAAGGAGGATCGGAGTCCCAGGCTGGTCTGCCTTAAGAGAGTCGTGGCCAGAGATAGGTTACAGGTAGCGCACTCCGGCCCCGCCCCGCATGTGCGGTGGATGTGGAGGAGGCAGCAGTGCTGACACGGAAACCTTTGAGAAGCAAATGTTACCAGCCCACGGGGGAGGGACGCTTTACAAGGTCTGAATGAGGATAGCTGGAATGCGGCTGGAGGAAGCCTGGAGAGGGATTTAGGAGGGAATGCGAGGCGTCTAGGACGATGGGGAGGGTGGGAACGCCATCACTGAGGTGGACAATACTAGGGCAAGGCACAGAGAGTTGGAGGTGCGTGCGGGGCAAGCCAAGTGGAACTCTCCCGCAAGCAATGAGATGGGCGTTCCGGGGACCGCAGGCGCAGAGGAGTGGGAGGCGCCTCCTGTGGGTGGATACGAACCACTGACAGCAAAGGAGCTGGTCCACCGGGCCGAGGGAGAAGGAAATGAGCGGACCACCTGGGGACAAGGAAGAGTGGGATTGGGGCGGGTAGGGGAAGGAGAGGGCAGGGAGGAGAAGGACCATGCAGACTCCAAGCGGCCTCCGGGCGGTCTGCCCGCTGCGTGCTGGGAGGGCCCCGGGCTTCGGAGCCGGTGTTGTCACCTCGGGTCTCCAGGCGGGGTTGCAGGCGGAGCCCCGAGTGGCACCCGGCGCAGGCAGGCGCGGAAGAGCCCACCGAAGTAGGGCCTTCCGCCTACCCTCTAGCAGCATTGGAGAGCCCTGCACCCGCTCGGCTGGAGTATGGCCCCGGGCGCCTCCTGCGCGCGGCAGGACAGCCTGAGCCATCGTCACCACCCCAGGTTCCCCGCGCATCCAGGCCGCGCCTCCCCTCGCTGCGCCTCCCGGCCCGAGGGCCCGGCTACGTCACTGCGGCTCTGACGCGCGCTAATGGAGGCACGGGCGGAGGCGGCGGGGCGCGGGCTTCCTCCCGGGAGGTCCCGGTTCTTGCAACCCACCGCCGCGTCCTTGGCCCTCCTCCAGGGGAACCTCGATTTTCCAAATTCGGGAAGGCTGGCTGTCCTTCGACTACTGATAAGGACGCGAGCGCATGGTAAAAGATTTTAACAATGCCCGGAAAGAAATAGCTGGACCCGAAAAAGAGACTAATAATAGCCACAAGCTAGAGCTCTGCTCGTGTGCTCAGCGCCCTTAAGAACAATAATGACGACAACAACCATAATAGCTACCATTTATTGAGCGCTTACTCTGTGCCAGGCACTGGGTTAAGCGCTTTGCAAGCAACAACCCTCGGAGGTAAGTACCGTTATTATCCCTATTTTGCAGGAAACCGGGGCAGAGAGGTTAAATAACTTGCCCCAGGGCACACAGCTAGCTGATGCCAGTGCCAGAATTCCAACCCAGGTTGTCTGATCCCATGTAATTCTCATGTCCACCCATTATGGTCGGGATCATCCTCTCCATCTTAAAGATGAGGAAACTAAGGCACATGGGAATGTAAGTACCTTGCCCAAGGTCACCTAGCTGGAAAATGGATGAGGCAGAAAGCGAACCCAGGGCTCCTCTCTGTCCGCAGAACCCGCGGTCTTGGCCATAGGCGATGCCACTTCCAAACCACCTCCGATAGCCCAGCAGGCTTTGGCCCCTGGTCCCAAGAGGCGCAGCCCCTGATAGGTTTGGGTGAGTTCCTGTGGCCTCCGATCCCCTGGTGCATCGAGTGTTTCCGAGCATCGTCCCTGCTTGGCCCTCTGGTTTAGAAAAGGAACGCATCTGCGGGAATCTCGTCTTGGACCCGGCGCGCGGTCCTGGGAAGGGATGGAGCGGGGGCGGATGCAGAGGGAGGGATCCAGAGTCCCACTTGCGGAGCCGCGGAGCCTGGCCCAGGGTTTGCCCCGCGCAGCCGGCAGAGGGCGCTGCCGCACGCGCCTAGAGTCCCACGGTCACCAGACCTAGGGGCAGGCAGACCTCCACCTCCGGATGCCTGGACTCAACCCTGGATCAAGAAGCTTTCTTCCCGGGGGCTGGCACGCCTCAGAGCCCTCCCGACAGTACTGAATCTGCTTTACCTGACTTCGCTTCCCCATCTTTTGCGCTTTTGTCACCCCACCATCTGCCTCCAAGGCTTCCCCACGCCCTACACCACGGATTGATTCACCTCCTGCTGAGAGGCGAGATACTGATCCCATTCCATTAAAAGGCCCTGGAGTTCGCAAATCCAACTCGACCTTGTCTTCCCTTCCGGTGGGACCTTGGGTGATTTAAAATGGGGACGAATCGAATCATCCTCTTGGAATAGATAACGAATTTTCTTTCTTTCTCAAAAATTAGAGGGGTGGTGGTGGTTAAGAAGGAGTAGACAGATGAAAGGTTCTATTTTCATAATAGCTACCGCCTATTGAAGGCTTCTTTTGGGCCAAGCCCTTTATATGTCTTAACTCATTGATTCTCACTACAGCTCTGAGAGTTCTGGGTTTCGTTCCTACCTGATGGGTGACTGTGTCAGGAAACTGGTAAGTAGCAAAGCTGGGATTCCACCAGGAATATTTACATTTTAAGTCATGTCCCCGTCACCAGGATGTACAAGGAGACACACTGATCAAAAGAGGTAGGATATACAACCTTAAACTAACTAGAGTGCCCCATTGAACTGAGGACTGACTAGCTTTCTGGGCTCCACTTTGCGACTCAAATATCTGAAACAGAAAAACAAACCCTAAAGGTGCTATTAGAGACTAGGACCAAGGTTTTTCGCTTCTACTTGGAAGAGCACCCGAAGAGGCCCACTCACTTTCTATGTCTGGGCTCTAAGGAAATAAAGGTGGTTCTAGGAAAATCTGAAAAATATGGGAGGAAAAAAAAATCCCTTCTGTGGTTTTTGCTTTAACCAAGTCTCATTTTGCTATTTGCGTTTCATTTTAAAATTAATGTGGCTCTCCCCACCCTTTAAATTGGCACATAAATAGCAAAAACAGAAGGAAAGCCAGCTACAAACTTAAAATGTGGTGGGTTCTCAGGAAGGAGGGACATGACTTGAAGTGGAAATGAGGATTAAATGAGGTGCTTTAAACATTTCAAAGACAGATTTTCCACAAGGAATTTAGAGCATAAGCCCTTAGAATAAGAGCTCTGTCTGGGCCAGGCTGGGTATAGTGTCTAGAATTTGCACTTGCTGAATAGATGTGGGAGCACAATCGCACTTGTAGTGAATGCCTACACCCTCTAACCATCTGGGCCACCACTGTGCTTATGGTCTTAAAATGCAATCTAGGGGGATTTTCCTGTCCTCTGAGTCTGTCACTCTGTCAGACTCCTACTTTTCCAGATGTTTGGTCTGGAAATTCAGTCAAGGTAAGGCAACTGTTGATGATGTCACATTACTTGGTTACCATAGAATAATGCTTAGCTCTGAAATCACCAACTGGTGGCTTTTTCAGACAAAGAAATCAAGGCAGCAAGGACCTCATGAGACTTGTCACTTAATAGTTCTGGCTCTATTTCTCTGTTTTTAAACAAGAAGAATTTTCCTCATCACCCAATTCAAGAGAGCTTGGGCAGTCCCAGGCTGCTTCCTGCTAAATTCTTGGACTTTTTTTTGTCCTTCCTGACACCTTCTGCCATGTTTTCAGTGCCTTCACTCCACAAACACGTCTTGAGATCCCACTCTATAAAGGTACTGGGGGTATCCAGCAGTGAGGAACCCAACATGAATTCATCAGAGGTCACCTTCTCCCACTCTCACCTGGATCCTCACCTCCTGACTCCAACTTCCATACCAGGTCCTACAATAGTAAATGGCTTGCTTCTCCAGCCAGAGACCATTGCTCAGACACTTCTGACATCCTGGCAGCTCCTGACAGCTCCCTGACATCATGTCCTCGGACCCCAGATCCCTGTCCTGGTGATATCAATTTGACAGCAGTTCTGGGCCCTCGGAAGCAGGGCTTGGGAATGTTCTAGGTCCAACACTTGCATTCTTTCCTGTCCTTTCTAGTTGTCATTCCTTCAGCTCATAAGAGCGCTGCTAATGATGACTGAGCTAGCTAGGCCATACTTAGGAAGCATCTCTTACAATGAAAATCCCATAGTGACATAATTCTCCACTGTTCACAGGAAAATGCTGGATTAAACAAACGACAGTGACTGTCTGGCAACGGACCCACTGGATAATGCTTACCAGTTTTCCAGGTCATTTTTGTTTTTTAAATTGAATCTTGGGATCAAGTGATTCACAATAATGAGGGGAAGAAAGAACTCTGGGCTTGCTGTAGCTGTCAGGATTATCCAATTGGAAGGGACTTTCGCTCTTCACACCCCCAAAAAGACAAAATGTTTAAGGTAAATTGCCAGTTTTTGTTTATCTGGAAAATCCATTACTACTGGATAATGTTGGACTTGACCCATTCCCAAACAATAAAAAGAGGATTGAATGTTAAGATTCAGATTTTGTCCCTGAAAATCCCTTTAGAAAGGGATTTCCAAATCAGTATTCTTACAATTCTTGACTTTCTCACCCCCAAGTCTGTCCCATCCCTTCTAGATAAGAGCATTATTTTCTGTCCCTTTGAGGAAGGCAGTGGCCCAGAGGCTGGAGGAATAAGGGACAATAAGGAGGTCAGCTTTTGCGCCGACCTATTTGAATGAAGGGAAATTCTTTGCGCGCCGCCTGGGCAAGAGTCTGTGGTTGTGCATTCACTGGCTGAGGTCCAAAATCTCCCTAATATGGAAGACTGAAATATGCCAGAAGAAAGACCTGTCTGGGAAGGACCTGGGTCCTCCCACCAAGGGGTCAGGGATGGCCAAAGGGGTCTCCTAACGCAGCAGTCTACGTGTGCAGCTGCTGGGTTAAAGAGATTTGGAAACCGCTGAACATTCCTGCTGGGATCTTGCCAAGCCCTGTTGGGAACCGGCTACAGTGCTTGTCTGGGGAAATTAGTTTTGCACTTTCACAGAGTGTGAAATTCCTCAGGGGCATTCTTATACTCGGGAAGAGAAATCAAACCCAGCTCATTCCTTCAGGGTCTTTGCCATTAATAAAGCAGACGGAATCCAGTTCGCTGGGTCCAGCCTGGGGCCTGCGCTGGGCGGGGGCAGAAGCAGTCGAGTTTCACCTGTGGCAGAAGCCCTCCCCGAACCCGCGCAAGCTTGAGATTTTAGGGGATCCTGTTACCGGCTTATAAACACCGTGAGTGACAGCCAGCGCTCCCAAGCGACCATAGAGGAGCTCAAACCCTTCCTATCTTCCTAGAAACCCTGGCTGCCCTGCCGGCTGCTTGCTGTCTGATGCAACAGTTTGCAACGCAGCTCTGGGAGTCGAGCCCTGCCGTGGGGCGCCTGGCGCCGGACCGAAGCGCATGCGCGGGCTGCAGCCCTGCCCCCGCCTGGCTGATGGAGGTGGGGAAGCTTTTCTCCAGATGTGCTGGAGGCGGGGCCCGGAGGGCGGGGAGACCTTTGGCAGCTCGCGCCAGCGATCTGAGCTTAATTAAACTTCTCCCGAGGCATTGGCTGACTGATTGACCCAGTGATCCAAAAAAAATCAGAGAGGCCCGAATCGCCCCCAAACGCACTGGGAGAATGAAGTGGAGGAGTTGGCTTTTGGTTTCCAGAGCTGGGCCTTTGGATTCAACTTCCCTTCCCGAGCCTCCCAATCTCAGATGCAGTCGGGGTTCTAAAGCTCCTCAGTCAGGCCTCATTGGCCTGTGGTTTAATTTGAAGGAGGGAACATGGCATCATAGGTTGTTTTTCAAAATTATCAACCATTCAGGTATTGTCTTTATGATTTTCTCCTACCCACATTCCATCAATATTATATCTTTAATTTACTTTTTTATTTTATTAACTTTTTTTCTAAATTAACTTTAAATCGATTCCCCTTTTTTAATGTATTCTTGACCTAAGCAATAATATTAGCAAAACCACAGCTTGAAAAATAAATTCAGAATTTTTAAAAATGTATATATGTTAGCTAACATTGTCTTGAAACTCTGGAGGTAATAATAGCTATTGGGTTCTAAGCATTGAATGCATTCTAATTCCTCATGACCACCTTAGGAGGTGGATGTTGTCTATATCTCACAGGAAAAGAAAGTGAGGCACAGAGAGGTTAAGCAACTACCCTAAGATCACATAGCCAGGAGACAAATTCCACTACGTACATAGCTGTCCTAGGCAAGGAGGACCAGGAGTAGGATTATCCAAATCCTAGTCCTTTTTCCAGAGCAAGTCTCTGGAAAATGTCAGGGCCTGGATGAAGGCCGATAGGGAACTGGACAGCACAGGGATATTGGCATAAGGAGAGGGAGAATCACGACAAGCAGGGTTCAAATACCAGTTCTGCTGTCACTGTGGGACCTGAACCTTTTAGGTTCCTTATCTATCAATAAGGAAATAGTTTCTTCCCATACCTCCTGTCTGGCCAACTCAGGACTTCTCTCTCAATCTAGAAGTCTCTCCTCGGGGGATTCTTCCTTCCTACCAAGGCGGGATGGGTGTGGGCCCCTCCAGTGTGTCCTCTGGGCTTTTTTTCTTACCTGGATTGTGGCATTTACCACCACTGTGTGTAATAATTCCCTGCTTCCCCTCCCCTCGCTGAACCTGGAGATCCTTGAGCACTGAGCCTCGACCTTGCTGGCAGGTGTGTCTGCAGCGCCTAACTCAGTGCTGATGCACCGTGGGCACCCATTACAACTAGGCAGGCCCTCTCCTTCCAGCTCCACAGGGGTGGCGACGTCCACAGAGGAGGCAGAAGGACCCTCTGGCCTCCCCAGGTCACCTGCCCTGGGCACCATGGCTCTGAAAGGTCCCCATAGGGCAAACCCAACTGGTGACATATAATGGGCAGAAATAACTAGGGTAAGGAACAGGGCTCCAGAATCTGTCTCTTGCAGGATGGACCCACTCAGTCCCACCCAGCGTCCAGGCGTTCTTTCCAAGGGCAGCACCCCTGAGCTCCAGCCTGTTTAGTGTGTGTCAAATGCACGTGTGTCACCTCTGATCATCTCACAGTAGCCGCAGGCGGTAGGTTCTGTCCCTACTGCCATCTTAGCAGATGACAAAATAAAGGCTCAGAGAGCCTCAGCTGCTGCTGCTGGAGGTCCCTGGGGGTTAGTACTATCTGAAACTGAACCCAAGTCCAGTGACTCCATAGCTAAGCTTAGTTCCGCCTTTTGTTGAAGCCAAAAGGTGCTTCTAGATATTTCTCTCTTCACCCCTACATCCTGGGGAGGAGAAGGTTTCCTATTTCTGGTGTTTCATTTCTCTTCCCTAAAGTAACCCATATGGGTCTCTGGTGTCCCGGAGAATCCTGGTGCGAGTCCTATCTGCTCTTCTCCGCGGACCATGGAACTGCTCAGAAGTTCCACCTATCAGCATTGAAACTACATTTCCCAGAATGCCATTTTTTTCAGGACAGAGAACAAAATACCCTATGTGAAACCATGTGTCTCCTATTTTGGGGTTGGAAAATTTGGTCACTAGCTTGGATAAAGATTGGCATGCCCATAGGCTAATTCTTCTGGCCCCAGGCAGACATGAGTTTCCCAGGCTTCAAAGATGGGGGAGGGGTGGGGCTATTGCAGCCAACAAAACCTTCAATTAGAGGCGTACAGGAACCTGGCGTATGGCTTGACCCCTGCACAGTAGGTATATTTTCGCTCCGCAACAGCCCTCACCACCACCACCGCTTCCCTCTCATCACTTCCCTTCCTTTTCCCTTCTTCCAGATTCTTTTAATTGTACCACTGGGCCACTCCCTTGTTCCCACCCCCACCCCATGCCCACACCCACGGCTTTAACCGTTTCATATAAAATCCAGCCCACCAGACTGAGGTTTTCTTCGACCCAAATGTTATTTTCAGAAGGAGCCATTGAGGTTGGGGAGTAATTGCAGCGTTGGGCCTCTGCGAGCCGAGCTGAAAATAATCAGCGAGGCAGATGGGGCGGGAAGAGAGTGCGGTGCCCTTACACCAGAGAGCCAAGAAACCCAGGAGAGTGAGTCAGAGGGAGGCAAGCGCCAGGCTGGGCCTGCCGGGCTTATGGCTGGGAGTTCAGTTAAGGGGAAACCGCCCAAGGTGTTGGGGCCTTTCACTGAAGCCCAGTCCAAGGTGGTTCCTGGCTGGACATCACAAGTCCATATTTCTTGTGACAGCCGCTAAACTTCTCCTGCTCTTACTCAATTGGGCCATAGCAGCCACTGGGCCACATTGGAACTTGGCCTTGCCAGCTGGCTCCCTGATCTTCACAGCAGGGTTTCTCAGCTTAGGCACTATTGACAAGTTGGGCTGGATAGTTCTTTGTTGTGGGAAGCTGTCCTGTGCATTGTGGGATATTCAGCAGTGTGCCTGGTCTCTACCCTCTTGATGCCAGTAGCACACACACTCTGTCATGGTAGTCAAAAATGCCCCAGACCTACCACATGGGAAAGTCACCCCTGGTTGAGAGCTGCTGGCCTAGAGTAATCTACAGAGGGGTCACATCATCTATCCCCATGGAGGCCTCATGGGCTTCCGTCACATCTGAGTAGGTCCAGATCCAAAGTATTGACCAAATGTTATTGCCAGTGGCAGTTGTTGGATGCCAGGACAAGTGCCCACTGGGTACCAAGCACTGTACTCAGGATTAATAACAAAGCAGAGAATGAGGCAGATGTGGCTCTTGTCCTCATGGAATGACCAGCTTGTTGGGTATGTCAGGCATTCCAAAACCACCTGCGAGAGGCGTGGAAAGGGAACGATGTGGGACTACAGAATATAAAAGAGAATTTCTGACCCAGATTAGGTATTCAAAAAAGGCTCTTGGAATCCAGGCATGGCGGCATATGCCTCTAATCCATCAACTAGGGAGACTGCACGTTCAAGGCCCGCCTCAGCAGTTTAGCAAGGCCCTAAGCCACTTAGTGAGACTCTGCCTCAAAATAAAAAGAACTGGGATGTAGCTCAGTGGTTAAGGGCCTGTGGGTTCAATCCCCTGTTAGTGCCCCCCACCCAAAAAAAGAGGCTCTTGGAGGAAATGAGAAATTAGTCAATGGATACTCAAGGGTGGGGAGTGTTCTGCAGACCAGGGACAGTGTTCAGACACCTTGAATGAAGTGTGCCATATTTTAAGTATCCCAAAGAAGTTTGTTATGGACCAGGGTTAGGACAATGGAGAAGCATTTTCTCCCCTCATCCCCAAAATTTGCATTTCCTGTCCTCCTCCTCCGGTTCCTAGCACAGCATGTAAACTTAGGATCATATTTAACCATATTTAAACCACCAATCGCCTCGTCCTCACTCAACCCTCCTCCGTCAACCAGTTACCAAGTTCTGTCCTCCTTCCACGAAATCTCCTTGCAAACTGTC